GGGTCGGCGCAAAAAGTCAGTTAAGCGCGAAATATGAGCGAAATGAAAGCAGCTGATAAACTTGAAATCTGAACACGGCACAGCGAACAATGCAAACGGGACGGCAGACTGACCAAAATGCAGAGCACCCGAAGGACGAAGCTCGGCGAGGCCAGGCTCAGGTCCAGGCACAGGCACAGGCACAGCCACGGTGGATGCTTGGCTTGAAAAGCGGCAAATCATGCTTAATGTGGCATTTTCTGCTTTTTATTGTTATTATGCTTTATTTATTTATTTTTATTTTGAGCTCAAAGCGCGAACAAGCTCAAGATTTCACAAAAAAATAAAAATAAACAAATAAAGGAGGGAAGAAACAGAGCACACAAACAGAAGCATAAAAAGGCGAGCGAATAAAATGAAAATGAGAAGTGGCAAATGGCAAAAGTCAAATAGAAACCGCAGAGGCGAGAAAGGACTTCACTAAGCAGGCGAAAAGGAAAGATGATATAAATTTTATTGTCATGTCCGAGTAGATTAAACTAGCTGCACATACCAGACCCAAAGGCTCGAGCGCTTAGCCCGGCAAAGTATGCTACGTAAAAGGCACAAGAGATTTATTAAGAACTTGACGGGTAAGAAAGCTCTGTGTGTGTGTGTGGGTGTGTGGGTGTGAGTGAGGGTGTCCTCCTCCTGTACATATGTACATTCTTCTCCTTTGCATAGCATATTTGTGAAAATATATGTATGTATACATTCATGTATGTATGTAGCACAAATATACCGTCGTCTGTAAAAAGTTTCATTAATTTTGACATTAAGCGTTGGGATTTTTCTCTTGCCTTTCGTTTCTTTTCGTGTTTCACTTTTTTGTTCTTTTGTAAATTTATCTGGCAATTCATTTTGACATGACAGCCAAATAAATAATGATTTATTTGTGCCCGACTAAAGGTAAGCCCCGACATGGGACGCAGCCACGCCCACCTTAACGACTCCCGACTCGGGCTCATTAAGTGCTTTGGCTTTGTTGCGGCCCACCACCAAAATGGCCTTAAGCTGTCAAAATTTTATAAATTGCCTCCAATTATAAGATTTATAATCTGAAGAGCTGATAAAAGCGTCTGAAGGATCGTCACTTGACCCTTTCGAGCTGCTCAACTTGTATACATACGCAGCGACTCAGGCACATCGCAGACCATTTCATTTCGTCTCTTCTGATGGAATTGTCTAGGCAAATATTTAATTTTCCCATTCACTCAAGGGGACACTGCGTGCAAGGCTCAATTAGCGGTGCTTGGAGCACATATTATGTAAAAAAACACGAAACGAAAGGAAGAGTAACCAGATGAAAAAACAAAATCCAATTTGAACCCTTCGTCTGCCTGGAGGCTTGACAGTCATTGAACAATTTATCATAATTTCACATAAATTCTCGCAATTCAGCGCAAGACAACACTTCTTGGAAGGAAGGCATCGCTCCTCCTTCAGACATGTATATACATACATATATGTAGGTATGTATATCTGAAAAAGGGAGCGTCTGGCATCGAAGACAAATTACAGAGAAATGTAAATTGTTGTCATACTTCAGCGATTCAAGATATTTTTATATATAGAAGTCTCTACATTTTTTATGCTCATCTCAAATCGTGCGACATTTTCTACAGTTTCAACCTTTATGTCAGCCACCACCTTTTCCTTCATTGTTAGCTTTTGACCCGCCGTGAAAGACGTTTAATTGGACCTTTTGCAAATACTGTTATTATACATACCTATATCATTTTTTTTTCTACATTTTTTGGCATCTGTCTCTGGCGCTCTAAGTTCGTAATTGGCTCCTTTTTTGTACTCAATCAACAACTAATTCGATTTGAGCAGAGTTAAATTGTTCAGATTGGCAGACAGATTTCCGAGAATATCATTTATTTTTCTATTAATTTCAGCTACATTAGGCAGTGGGGTTATATGCTGTGAAAGATTGTATTTGATGTCGACTGTCTGCGGGCTTTGAGCTCAGGCAATTTGTGTTAAGAAAACACGAGTATTTAAAAGAAATTAAGTCAAATGCAGAGAGTAATTAATTACCAATGAGAATGAGTGCGTAGGGAAAAGCTGATGAACGTAAAATACCCTGTGTGCCTTGATAGAATCACAAGCAGAACATCCATAACTATAACTCTTTACACTGCTTGGCATAATAAGAGTGCTTACAGCTACTACAACAGCAGCCTCAGTAGAGAGTGGGTGGATGAAATGCAAATACGCCTTTTAAAACTCCATTAAGCAGGGTATTAGCTCGGCAGATATAATAGGTAAACGCGTGGGTAAATGCACGGCTGTTAATTGATTTCTTAGTCAATTGCAAAGGCGCCGTCAGATTGTGTAAAGCCAGCTTGATTGACTGACTGACTGACTGCTCGGCTCGGTTGCCTGATGGACAGACCGGTGAAGTAGACGGCGCTCAGTGGCTGACGTCTTGACAGCGCGAGAAGACGAAAAGACATTTGCTTTGCCGGTGAGTGGTGTATTAAATTTTACTCTTAACGCCCCTCGTTAGACAATTGAATTGGCTGGCTCTCCGTCTGTGGCGATAACAAGCCTTTGCACTCCCAACCATCAGCGTGCTGCATGGGGGCGTGGCAGCTGTTCTTGTCCGCCGCAACTGCCGCTGATAGCTTCCATTAGGGATGCCGCTCTCAGCGCGCTGCTATTTTTGCCCTCGCCTTGCGCTTTAATCAAAATGTAATTAACAGCCATGTCGAACGTCGGCCATTGCAGCTCTCAGCCAGATGCACCGAATGATTGACTGACGTTGAGTCTAGGCAACTGGCAGCGAGTTCTTTTATACACTTGCCAATTTAGTTTTGTGTTGCCCCCAAAGATGTTTCCGTTTTTGGTTCTATAATCTAATTGCTGGCTGTTCGGCAAATTGGTTTCGTTTATGACTGATTGCTGGCACTTGACATGCCCTCAGCCAGTCACTCAGTCGGCTATTCAGTCAGCGAGTCAGATATGCAAATCAATGCTTTTGGGGCTCATTAATTTTGAAGAGCTGACGCGCAGGCTGAGGTGTTGATTAAAGGTAAATGATATAGAAATAATTAGTGTGCTGTGGTTGAAAATAACTGGAAATACGAGTGAAATTAGACTTGCATAAAATAAAACATTGCATATAGGAGAGAGAGTAGTCGATTAATTCAACAGAATTTAAGTATGATATAATATTTTATAATTTACAAAATTAAACAAAA